GAGCCCACCTCCTGCCCCGGGCCTGCCCTCCCGTGGGAGCAGCACCGCCTGGTAGACCCTTTGCCAGAGCGGGACCCCGCCTGCTCCCTCTTCCCACCCCTCTGCTAGGAAGCCTCCTGCCTCCTTTAAAGTCCAGTGGGGACACAGCCCTCTCCCCCCGATGACAGTCACAATTCACTCGTTTCCAGGCATTGTCCCGGGTCCTCCCCTAGACCACGGCACAGCCCCTAACTGTCCCCAGCCCCTCCCTCTGCAATCCATGCTCCACCAGTGACCTGCCTCTGACGCCAGCTCCAGCCAGTGACCTGCCTCTGACGCCAGCTCCAGCCAGTGACCTGCCTCTGACGCCAGCTCCAGCCAGTGACTGGGCTGCTCAGATCCCTCCAGCTGCTCCCCAGCACCTGGGAGGTCAAGCCCAGACTTAGCCTGACATTTAGGGCCTTTCACACTGGCCCCTACCTGTCCAGTCTCCAATCCCGTCTCCTCCCCGCCCCCCCACCTCTCCTTCCCAAACATTTCTCTAGCATATGGTCTTTCCCACTGTCCGGAACATAGACTGTCCCACCTCCAGTCATTCATCCCCCCGTTTCCTGTCCCCATAACATGCGCCTTGCAAACCCTCATTCACCTTCCAAGGCCCTTCTTTTCTTTTTTAATTTTTAAAATATATTTTTACTGATTTCAGAGAGGAAGGGAGAGGGAGAGAGAGATAGAAACATCAATGATGAGAGAGAATCATTGATCGACTGTCTCCTGCACGCCCCCCACCGGGGATCAAGCCCGCAACCTGGGCATGTGCCCTTGACCAGAATCGAACCTGGGACCCTTCAGCCCGCAGGCCGAAGCTCTATCCACTGAGCCAAACCATCTAGGGCTCCAAGGCTCTGCTTAAATGTCCCCTCCACTAAGCAGCGTCCCCTGACTAACCTCTTCAGAATTCCCCTCTCTTTCCCGTATCCCCACGTGGCAGGTCTAGCCCACCCATCCCGGCCGCAGCCACCAGGATGCGACACCAGCTCTGGCCCTGTTTCCACTCAGATAACTGTCTGACCCCTCTGGCCCCCTCCATAGTTTCTGCATTTGCCCCAGCCCACCCAACCAAGCAATGGCCAAGCTGGTTGACTCGAGAAGTGGAGGGGGCAGGGCCACTCTTCTGGCCTCTCTGGACCCATCACTAGACTATGTGTTGCCTCGGATTGAACTATGTGCTCTTTTGCCCCACGGAAGCCATGGGGGTGTTTGAGGCTGTATTCATGACTGTGTTTTCGGAACCCCCAATTAGGACTAATGGACTAACTATGTGCCCCAAGACGAGGTCCCCTGACTCCCATTCTCCTGCCGGCCCTCCTCAGCCTTCCCTTTCTTGTTGCCTAACATTTCAGAGAAAGAATGTCATTTGCGTCATTGAAGGGATGGCGCCGGGGTGGGGATGTGGTTATGCGGGCAATTCGCCAGCTCGCGGGAGTCGGCAGGACTAAGCAGTGCAGCTCCCAGGGGACGCTGTCCCCACAGACCTGGCAGCAGGTTCGGGGCCTCCAGTTTCCCAGGGCGCTTGCCCAGGCCCCGTCCAAACCTTGCCTATGGGGGAGTCTCCATCACAAAGCTCTAGGGCAGTGGTTCTCAACCTTCTGGCCCTTTAAATACAGTTCCTCATGTTGTGACCCAACCATAAAATTATTTTCGTTGCTACTTCATAACTGTAATGTTGCTACTGTTATGAATCATAATGTAAATATCTGATATGCAGGATGGTCTTAGGCGACCCCTGTGAAAGGGTCGTTCGACCGCCAAAGGGGTCGCGACCCACAGGTTGAGAACCGCTGCTCTAGGGGCTCTGCCCACCCATCGAGGCCCTGCCACAGGTCAGGAACCGGGATCCCGTGGGGGGAACCGGCCCAGACAGTCCAGGGGCCGCCTCTGATCCGGGGATGGAGGAAGTGCTTGCAGCGGATCGGGTGACACAGCCCATCTCGGAACCCTGAGCCAAGTGGCCTGGAAATGCCAGGGCCTTTGGCCCTCGTTTGCACAGGACAAACTGCAATTCCCCTGCTCGGCAAGAAGTTTCTGAAGCTTTGCTGCCTCGGCGACCGGCAAACCACCACCCGCCTGCCAGTCCTGGGCAGTTTGGCGGTTCATCCTTTATAGAATGTTCTTCCCATGCTGCCCAGAAGCCACCAAACACAGCGGCAGCCACCCACACGGCGCAGGGTGCCCCACTCAGCTCGGCAAGAGGAGTCCACGTGGACGACTTTAAATACATTGTGAGGAGCCACTTTCTAGCGTAGAAAGTCAGCCACTGTCCTCGTGGTGTGTGGTTTCCTCCAGAGAACACCCAACAGTTCTCTCGTCAATCTATATATATAAACGCCTAAGTGACCAAATGACTGAACAACTGGTCACTATGACGCACACTGGCCACCCGCAGGAGCTGTCCCCTGGTGGTCAGTGTGCTCCCACCGGGGAACGCCGCTCAATCAGAAGCCCTGAGCAGGGCTCACAGCTGGCGAGCACAGTGGCAGTGACGGGAGCCTCTCCCGCTTTCGTGGCAATGCTAAGGATGTCTGATTGCTGCCTTAGGCCTGCTCCCCATCCCCCAAGTGCTCCCGGACTGCAAGAGGGGGCAGGCCTGGCTGAGGGACCACTGCCCTCCCCCTGTGCACAAATTTTGTGCCCCGGGCCTCTAGTATTAAACATAAAACACGAGACCAAATCCCCAGGTGAGGGCCTGGGCTCGTTCAGCACTGACCAGCACAGACTCCATCAGTGTTCTCCAAGGGAAGGGATGGGCGTGCTCCTCCCTGCAGCCTCTGTGCCTAGTGGGGCACCCTGCACACAGTAGGTGCTCAATAGGAGTGGTTCAGAGGATGAACTCAGCGCTCGCTCACCAGGCAACCTCTCTTCTAGTCCTGATGGCGCCTCATGAGGTAGCTTATCACCATCCCCATTTCACAGACAAGGAAACTGAGGCTCGGGGAGTGGGACCTCCCCGAGGCCACGGCCAGGGTGTCGCCCAGCAGACTCTGAGGCGGTCCCGCTAACCCCAGAGCAGACCTGCTGCCTGAGTGAGCGAGGGGCTGGGTTCTTTGCGGGTGGGGAGCCTCAGTCTCCTGGATATGGGTCCCCTGGGTCTCCCAAGGGCGCTGAGCAGAAAGAACCAGGCTGAACTGCCAAGAAGACACGCACCTTTAATCACGCTGGACAAGGGGGCGGGGGCAGGCGGCTGGGAGTGGCTGTGCCCTGGCCTGCGCACAGTCAGGCTCTGCTGCCATCCCCAGCCACACAGCCACCACGTGGCCCCTTGGCTGTAAGTGAGCACCAGAGACCACCCCCAGAGTCTGCGTAAGCACCAAGACTGGAGGCCGCCTCCCGGGGGAGAGGGTCAGGCCACCTGGACGGGGGAGAGGAAGGCTGGGGGCCACCAGGCTGCCCCACCTGGGAGGGGAGAAGGGGCAGGAAGCCTGGTGTCCCTTACTAGCGTCTGATTCTTCCCAGGAGAGAGAGGCCTGGGCCTCTCTCGGCATCATGGCTCAGAGGAGGGAGGGTCCCCCTGACTGACCTGAATGTTACCCGCTTCAGTTCCTCAGACCTGCTGAGGGTCCAAAGCCTGGCGCCCCTGCCCTGGCATCTCCAAAGGCAGCACCAGGCCAGGGGAGACTGGGTCTCAGCACCTTAACGCTCAGAGAGCGGGGACACTGGGACAGCAAGAGGGGACAAGGAGGGTCAGACAGCACCTGGGGACAGACAGCAAGGTCTGACGGGGCGGGGAGCTCGGAAGAACCAAGGCCAGGTGTCTAGGTACGGGGGGCAGGGGGGCTGAGCGCGGTCGTGGCTGAGCCCCAGAGCGGGCAGGGAGGGTGCTGTGAGGAGGACGGGAGTCCTCGCAGGTGCCCGTACAGCTGGATGGGGAGCTAGGGGCCTGAGGGCTGCTTTGATGACAGGCATGGAGCAGGAATGAGAGGAGGCCAGGAACACCCCATCTCGGGGGCCCTGTCCCACCAGCCTTGGGGACCGTGGGTGATGAGGGGCCACGGTGTCTGAGTGCCCGGAGCCCAGACTTCTGTGACAAGAGCACCAGCGTTTCTCCGGGTCAGGTCTCGGAACCCTCCGTCTCCCAACGGGCTGGGCTGTGTGCCCACCGAGCACAGGGTCTGCGTCTGACCCGCCCCAGCCTTCCCGGGGCCTGGCACCGAGTGAGCTCACTCGTGAGGTTGGATGAATGACAGAAGGAGCGGCTGCACAGGTGGGGGTGCAGGCGAGAGGGAGAGAGGGAGGGAGGAGGGGCTGCCCAGAGAAGCGAGAATGTTTAAGGATGTTGTGATGATTCTAGAATGTTCAGAAAGTTTAGGAAGAAAGTTCTAGAGTCTGGTTACTGCAGTGTGGCCCATCGGCCAGCAGCGCGAGCGTCACCCATGAACTGACCGGACATGCGGAGTCCTGGGCCCACTCCACGCCTGCCTGAGCGAATCTGCATTTTAGCACGAACGGTCCCCAGGCGATTCCTGTGCAGGTTCAAGTTTGAGAAGTGCTGGTCTGAAAGGCTGGGCAGGTTGTAGACTATTTAGGTTAGAAGGCTTCTCAAAATACGTTCAAGAGAGGGGACGGCAGAAACAGCCTGGGAGGGAGGGAAGGAGGAGGAGGGCTACCCGCAGTGCCAGGCCCCGCGGGCCCACTGTGCAGAGG